ATATATATATATAATTTTGAGTTTTGTTCTACATTGTTTCCCAGGACAATCTGTTGTGATCCCTTTCAGAGTAGTTGATAATGGTAGCCAGGTACCATCTAGTTCTTCTGGTCTCAGAGACATGGAGATAGATGTTCTGATGTTCACATGTTCCATTAGTCCATTGGGTATGTTTTATCTCAAGCAGTCCTTATAACAGCTACATTTTACAGATGAGAACACTAGACTTTGACAAGTTAAGTAGTTTTGCTGTGTGTGTTACCTTGGTTACCCCAGTGTAGTACACCTACCAGGATTCATGCCCTATACTACATTGACTCTGGTGGTGGTGGTGGTGATGTGCCGTGGAGTCGGTTCCGACTCATAGCGACCCTGCATAAGGTTTCCGAGGCTGTAAATCTTAACAGGAAAAGAAAGTCTCATCTTTATCCCATGGAACAGCTGATAGTTTTGAACTGCTAACTTTGAGGTTAACAGCTTGACTCGTAATCACTATGTTACCAGAGTCATTTTACTTGCTTTAGTCATTAACAAAATTTGTAAGTACTTGTACATTGAGTTTGTCCTCTTGGAATGCTCCCTCGAATGCCTGTTGTTGTTAATTGCCATCAAGTTGGCTCTTACCCACAGTGACCCTGTATAGGGTTTCCAAGGAGCAGCTGGTGAGTTTGAACTGCCAACCTTGTGGTTCAAACTGACCTGTGGTAGAGTGCTTATCCTTCAGTGTCACACCAGGACTCTTCTCAGTGCCTAAGCTACCAGAATAGAAGTCCAGCTACCTACTTAGAGGAATCACATGGAGGGAAATGCCTATTTAGCTTCCTGTTGTTCCATATTCCCATCTGACATGACAGATATGTGAATGAAGCCATCTTGGATTTCTAGTTGCAGTCAAACTTCCATTGAATTCACATGACTGACCCAGGCAAGACCGGTAGAAAGACCAACCAGTTAAGCCAAGCTCAGACAGAGGACTTATAATCAAATATATGTATTTCTAGACCAGTAAATTTTGGGGTGGTTTCTTACTTTGCAATAGATCACTTACACAGGTTTGGGATATTTTGTAGTTCTCCAGGTAATTATAAAGCTGCAATAATAAAATCTTTGTTACCATCCATCTGAATACATTCAGCTGTAATACATCCATTCTTACCATCCATTTGAATACATCCATCTGAATACATGCCATCCATCTGTAATTCCATCAAACATATTTTAAGTCTGTCTCCTTACTGAAAACTTGCCATATGCAATTAAAGTCAATATTACTTCTCCCTTTTGGTTCCTAAGACTTGTTATGTTCCAGATTGAATTGTATTAAGGAGCTCTTGTAGCGTAGTGGATACGAATCGGGCTAGGTCAGCAGTTGGAAACTACCAGCTGTTCCGTGGGAGAGCAATGAGGCTTTCTGCTCCCGTAAAGATTTACAGCCTCGGAAACCCTGTACAGTATCGCTGTGAGTCAGAACCGACTCCACAGCACACAACAACAACAACAACCACTACATCTTAATTTTTATGGTTAGCTTCTTTATAGTAAGGATTACTTAATTTATTTTAGTTCACTCAAGCAAATATTTTTTGAACTCTCTATGTGAGCCTGTGTGCTTGGAACTGTGTAAAATAAAATTCTTCAAAAGCAGTTTTGGTTGGAGTAAGACTAGATATACTTAAGGTAGGCTATGATAATTGCTATAAGGGTGATATGGGGAGAGCTTCATTGTACCAGGTGCAGTTCAGAGTTTTTCTGGGTCAACATATAGACAGAAATGAAAAGAGGGCAGAGAGAATAACTTGAAACAAAGGCAGAGTTGGGAAATTACCAGGCAAGATCAGAGCTGGTTAATATGGCATTTCAAGTTTGTCCTCAATTTACTAGTTTTGGGAAATGTTTCATTGATGTAAAACATATGCAGCAAAGTTTATAAATTATATGTATACAACTGAAAAAATTAAGCAGCGTATTCTTTGTATGCCTTCCAAATTTCTATTGCCTCACAAGACTGCTATTCTGATTTTTCGTGTTGATGTTGTTAGGTGCCGTTGAGTCCATCCTGACCAGTGGCCCTATACATACAGCAGAACGAAATACTACCCATCCCTGCACTATCCTCACAGTTGTTCCTGTGTCTGAACCCATTGTTGCAGTCACTGTGTCAGTTCATCTAATTGAGAACCTTCCTCTTTTTCCCTGGTCTTCTACTTTATGAAGTATAATGTACTTCTCCAGAAACTGGCCATTCCTGATAACATGTCTAAAGTTCATGAGAAAAGCTCTCATTCTGCCTGTACTTTTTCCAAGGCAGAGTTGTTGATTTTTCTGGCAGTCCATGGTATATTCAATATTCTTCATCAACATTATAATTAAAAATACACAAACTCTTCTTTGGTCTTCCTTTTTCACAGTCCAGCTTTCACATGCATAGAAGGTGATTGAAAATACTGTGGCTTGGGTCAGGGTTCACTTTAGTCCTCAAAGTGACATCTTTTTAAAAAAAATTTTTGAAGAGGGCTTTTGCTAGTGCATTTGGCCAATGCAACACATCATTTAATTAAGAGGCATTGAATATGGATCTGAGTAAAATGAAATTCTTGACAAGCCCAATCTTTTCTCCATGTGTAAATCCTCATCAGATCTTTGTTAAGTAAATAAGTATTGCAAAAATGGCATGGAGGCCATGTCTGACTTATCTGGCTCCACAAGGGGAAGGAGAATGAAACTCAAAATCACCTCAAGGATGATTCATAAGAGGCACAGGTAAGACATGCCTCCACTCTTCAACCTTCTTTGCTCTCTTTTAATACCAGCCATCCCTCCCACAGCACTCCCTGCTTCACATCCAGGTTCAATAATCCATTGCACTGGTCACATATAAAGCAGAGACAATACTCACAATTATGAAGTTTATTAGGGAAGTGAACAGGGTATGATTCAGGATCAGAAACAACTCAACATGGAGCAGTTCTCCAGTCAGGAACGCCACTTCTCTGCTGTACTATAGTCATGCCTAACTCTTGTCTTCAGTCTGTCAGCCAGGTGGCCCCTAATTCTGTGCTCTGCTTGGACAAGTGTTTCAAAATTCCTTTAGCCAGTTTGTAAATCCCCAAAGGGAGCATTGTGCAAGCCAGGCTTCTGCCCAGAAGCACTGAGCTTTACTTACTGACCACAGTCAAGGAAGTCCATAGCTGATCTGTCTTTCTAAGCTGCCTTCTCTGCTGACTCCTAGTGCTTTTCCGGGTAGGGATCTCATGCTCGGCTCATGGCTCTTTTTTCTTGATGTTCCTGGGATTATCTGTTCCTGCTTCTGAAATGGCTCCTTTTAAAGCTAGTGGGATGGCAAAATGAACCAACCCTGTACTCCCTATTTGCATGGTCCCACCCAATCATTTGGTAGGAGTTAAGAAAACTTTGTATAGAAAGCCATCACAAGTAAACTCACAGTGGCACAAGTATCCTTTGTTCAACTGTACCTTTTGTTGAAATGCTTTTGTTTTTGTGGTGGTCTCTTATTTATCATTACAGCACCCTAATTGTGACTCTTTCTTGGACTTCATTCCTTTATTTATTCTTTTTATAGCATGCATTTAACATATTTTGAGATTCTTTATATAATTAATATACCCATATAAGCTGGTAAACTCTTTGGGGGAATGTTGTTTTATTAATCTTTGGATTCTTTTGAAATTAGCATAATTATTTGCATGGCAAGTTCTCAAAAATATTTTTTATTTGGATTGAATTGATGAGTATAGTGTTTGGAGATTATAATGACACATAAAGAAGAGAACCCGAATAAAGACAATTGATTTCTAGGCTAAGAAATAGAACAGTAGATTCCATCCTGTGGACCTTGGAACACTCCGGGTTTGGAGATTCATTGCAAAGAGTCTGAGATTCTGCTTATGAGAACTAGGCTTTCACGATGAGATATTTATTTCATGGACTGAATAAATATCTCGCCTGCTTGTACTGCTACCTAGAAACGTATGTAGATGCAGCAAGGGTTTATATAATACAAATTCAAAGTGTGAATACACTTATTAGAACCTTTTGACATTGCATATTTTTCACCTAGGAACTAAAGTTAATTTTTTTTTTTAAATGTAAAAAGTTGTCTTCATATTTTAAAAGATCAGACATCCTTAACTATTTGCTTTACACAAGAAAGGAACTGAAGATGTTTTGGACTTGAGAAGTTGAGGAGTGCCATGGCTAGGTCTGTTTTAGAGCTTGAGGAATATGAAAAATGGAACATGAAGAATTTAATTTTCCTTTTGTAATATGCAGCAATGTGTAAGTGAAATAAATGCATAATAGGCTCACAGTAAAGACCTTAGTTGATTTGAGTTATTTGACACAGGATATAATTCTGTCAAAAGGGATTAATTGCATATTTTAAGTATGCTGGTTTTTAAAAGGTTGCCTTTTCAAAATGTTGATTGGCCTTTTTCATGCTCCAGAATCAGATTTCCAGGATAAATGTGTAAAATTCTGAGTTGGTACAATAATCTGGGGTCTACTACAGATTCACAATCCCTTCCTTATTGGAGATTGTTGGGGACATAAATGCTTTTGAAGTTTAAAATGTGGAGTTTTAATATGATATGTAATTTTATATGATATGTAATACTTCCAGTGTAGTCTGGGGCATCACTGCTTAATTATATACATGAGTATTACTGCAGTGAAACATATGACTATTCACACTGAATTAGACAACTAATTGATTAAAATTAATCTCATTTCAGTTTAAGACAAGTTTTGCTATCACATGAATTTTGGTGCCAAATTTATAAGTGTTGGGGTTTATGAATATGGGAATATTTGTTGTTTTTGTTTTTAAGTGCCATTGAGTTGGTTCCAACTTTGTATGGGGTTTCTGAGGAGCCGTTGGTGGTTTGAACCACTGACAGTTAGCAGTCCAGTGCTTATTCTACAATGGCACAATGAACTTTTAAAGACTATTTTAAATATTTCTTCTTGTGTTATCTATGTAAATCCTTTAATGTGATTTTTTTTCCTTTTCATTGTTTAAAGGAGTAATTGAAACTTCGGAAGTAATTGGTGCTCTGAAATCACTGGGTATAAACGCTTCTGAAGCTCAGGCAAAAAAAATTCTGCAAAGGTCAGCCTGTATCCTTATTTTTACTTGTTTTTATCTTTTTGCTTAATATTACATTAGGAGCAAATTGCTATACATGTGGCATTTTGTTCATGTTCTACAACTTTGTGTACAAACTTGCTTGTTGTATTTGGTTAACTATAGCTCATCCTGAATGCATCTTGTTAAAAGCATCTTGCAAAATCATTGCCTAGGTTGACAATTTAAGCAGCAGAAACCCAATGAAATCCCCACTACTTCCACTGTAGTGGTTGTTCAAATTGTACTCAATAAGCCCTTGTTGTGTGTGAGGAACAGTGGGTAGACAGAGGAGAATGAGCTCCTGGCTTCCTGTTGGTGCTTGAGTCAGTGTAATTCTGCATTCACTTGGTTTATACTTTTATGTTAAACTTTCAGGGAGTTTTCTTCTGAAGAAGAGATTTTGTAGTTGACCATTGTAGTTTTATAGAAAGGGACAGATTGTTGTTATTGTTGGGTGCCATCAAGTCACTACCGACTCAGCAACCTTATGCACTGCCTGGTCCTGGGCCAACCTACAATCGTTGCTACTCCTGAGTCCATTGCTGCCACCACTGTGCCAGTTATCTCACTGGGGGTCTTCCTCTTTTTCTCCAACCCTCCACTTTACCAAACATGATATCCTTCTCCAGTGACTGGTCCCTTTTGATAATATGTCTGAAGTGTGAGAGATGAAGTCTGGCCATCCTGGCTTTCAAGGAGCACTCTGGCTGTACTTTGTCCAGAAGTACTGTGGTGGCCTGTGTGTTGCTGTGATTCTGGAAGCTATGCCACAGGTATTTTAAATACCAGCACGGTCACCCATGGTGGATAGGTTTCAGCTGAGCTTCCAGATGAAGCCAGACTAGGAGGAGAGATAGACTACTTTAGAATATTTAATCACTGAAAACCTTATGAATAATGATGGAACACTGTCAACACCACACAGGGAGAGAGGCAATGAAAATAGTAATAATAATTTTTTTTTCACATTATTTAAAAGTATGTTTTAAAATTTAAAATATATGGTACTTTTTAGAGTGTTATTTCCTTGTTTTCGATTTTTAACAATTAAAGACTATTAAAAATATGAGTTGTAGGAAGGATACTAGAATAGGTTAAAGAATATAGGTTATAGGAAAGATACTAATTCTTTCAAAAATTTTGAGGTTTGTTTTAACACCTAGTACAGCTAGAGTTTTTATACTTGTTCTGTATGAATTTGAAGAGTAGTGTGTATCTTACAGTTCAGGGCTTTATATAATGTCCATCAAAAAGTTTGCTCATTTTGTTGTTCAAATGTTTGCCTGACTAAATGATTGAAATGCCCACTATGAAGATGGATTTTCAACTTCTCAAAGTTAGCTCTGGTAGTGTGTTGGGTTGCTAACTGCAAGGTCAGCAGTTCAAATTCACCAGCCACTCCATAGGAGATGAGGCTTTCTGCTCCTTTAAAGATTTAGTCATAGAAACCCTACACAGGGTCCATATGAATTGGAACTGACTCGACAGCACACAGGAGCTTTGAGACACTTTTCAGGGTCAGACAACCTCAAAGTTATATGATTTTGGCAAATTGAATATTTTTTTCATTATGTATTGAAGTTTATTTTATCTGATATTACTCTAGTACTAATCAAGCCTTTGTTGGATCAGTATTTGTCATCATCTACCTTTCATTTTATATACCCTTATGAAAAGCAGTACTGGTGGAACAGTACTAAAAAGTTGACCATTCAAAACCACAAGCTGCCCCACGGGAGATGGATGTGGCAGTATACTTCCCAAAAAATAGTTGTTAAGTGCCGTCCAGTTGGTTCTGACTCATAGCGACTCTGTATAGGGGTTCTGAGGAACAGCTGGTGGGTTTGAAGTGCCTATCTGTGGTTCACTGTCCAGTGTTGATCCTACAGTACCATACCTGCAGTCCTCCCAAAAGATGACACCATTGGAAGTGTTATGAGGCAATTCAACTCGAGCCAATAGGGTCATTATGAATGAGAATTGACTTGGAGGTAATGGTTTATGCCCTTGTGTTTCAGTTTGTTGTAAATAATTATATTTGGATTTTACTTTTTATCCAATGTGAAAATTTATTTCTGACTAGTGACACTTTTTTGGAATTATTGGTTAAAAATAATTAGACTTATTTCTCTCTCTCTGTTTTTTTATTTTCATTTTTTTTTGTTTCCCTTTTCTCTTTTATGCTTTAAAATGTATTTTTCTCAATTTTTTTCTTTATTCAATTTTTTTTAAACAGGTTTGAAATTTGTACTTTTTTTTGTTAGTAGTTAGTATTGAAACTTTACTATTCACATTTAATTTAAAGAGTAAAATTAAGCAAACCTTTACCTTCTTTTCAAACAATAGGAAGATTTTAGGATACTTTTAGCTTCAATAACTCCTTTTCTGATTTGTATTCTATCTTTTATTACAACAAAATGTGCAAAGATCTGGAATCAGAAAACCACAAAGGAAGAACATGTTCAGCATTTCTCAAACTGGGGAACTGAAGAAAAACTTCAAGCCTTGACTTTCGTTATTGAAAGATGCTTTGGGAAAATTATTGAATGATGCAGAAAGCATCAAGAGAAGGTGGAAGGAATATACAGAGTCACTTTACCAAAAGGAAATGGTTAACGTACAACTGTTTCAAGAGGTAGCATATGATCAAGAGCCAATGATACTGAAGGAGTTAAGTCCAAGGTGCATTGAAGGAATGGGCAAAGAACAAGGTGTCAGGAATTGATGGAATAAAAATAGAAATCTTTCAAGAAAATGAGGAGGCACAAGGAAGTTGGAAGAAAACTAGCAACAGTAGTGAGATTGGCCCAGGATCTGGCAGTGTTTCGTTCTGCTGTGCATAATGTCACTATGGGTCAGTATCGACTCGATGGTACCTAACAACAACAACAACAACAACAACAACAACAACATTCTATCTTTATTCTCTTTTTGACTACACAGATGTACTTTTACTTATTTTATTTGCTCACCACTTTTTCTTCCATTTCAGACTGTACTTCTAGGATCATTTCCCTTCTTCATGAACTATATCCTTTGGAAATTATTTTGTGAAAATATATTGATGCTTAACTGTTGGTTTTTGAGCATCTGAAAATTCCTCTATTCCACTTTTGTTTTTTAAAGAGTTTTGTAGGCACACAATTCTAGTTTGACAGTTACTTTTTTCTCTGTACTTTGATATATTATTTTAATTGAATTCTAGCATCTATTATTGCTTGAGTCAGTCTGATTGTTAATCCTTGGTGTTGTTGTTGTTGTTGTTAGGTGCCATCGAGTTGGTACTGACTCATAGCACCCTTATGAACAGCAGAACGAAACACTGCCTGATCCTGGGCCAACCTTACTATTGTTGCCAAGCTTGAGCCCATTGATGCTGCCAGTTTGCCAATCCATCTCACTGGGGGTCTTCCTCTTTTTCTCTAATCCTCCATCTTACCAAACATGATATCCTTCTCCAGCTTCTGGTCCCTCCTGACAATATATCCAAAGTATGAGAGATGAAGTTTGGCCATCCTGGCCTCCAAGGAACACTCTGGCTGCACTTCTTCTAACACAGATCTGTTTGTTCTTTTGGCAGCCATGGCACTTTCAATATTCTCCTCCAACACCATAACTCAAAAACATCAATTCTTCTATGGTCTTCCTTATTCACTGTCCAGCTTTTGCATGCATATGAGGTTATTGAAAATGCCATGGCTTGGGCCAGGTGCACCTTAGTC